TGTCCCTCAGGAAGGAGTGGCTGGGGCAAGGGCAGGGTCACAAATGAGGACTGTGCTATTTGTTCCTGCAATGTCCTCAAAGCATCTGTTTGGCATCCATGGAGCTGTAGCTGGGGTGTCCACGAAGACCCGATTCCCTCTGCAACCAGGGACTGGCAGTAGACAACTCCCCTTACCCATTAACTTAGCTGAGAGAAGGCTAGACTTTTTCAAAAGAACTTTATTGAGAAACAGAAAATGTAAAGTACAAAATCAGAGGAATGAAAGAGTTTATGGTGCAGATTCCCTACCCCATGGCAACGAAGAGAAAGAAGCTGGGCTGACAACATTGATTGGGTGCCAAGGACCCTGTTCCTTTGCCTCCACCCTGTCAGTGCCGGCTACTAAACCAGCCAGTCTGAATCCTCTATGGAGACAAGTTCAGGTTGCCTTCCCAAACCTATTTCCTAATCTTCTTTTTATGGATAGGCCCTTGAGATGAACAAGTCATTTCTCCCCCCAGGCCTTCAGGGGAGGTCTTGCCTGACCCCCTGTACCTTCTCCAAATCACAGGAGTCTGTGGTTCCCAGAAGACCTACTTTTGCCCCGTCCTGTTCCACTTCATGAAACCATATTCACGAGCCACTTCAGTAGGCTGGTCCACCATCTCTGGTCAAATTACTTATTTTCCCTAAGCCTGCATCTGGACTTGGTCTTTTTCCTGCTGAGAACATCTTTTTGGGTGCTCTCTGCCCCAGCTAGTCCACAACTTCTTTCTCCTCCATACAACAGTATCATATTCTATTCAACAATATTCTAGTATTGTATTCCATTCTATTCTATTGTATTCAACTTTTTCCTCCCTACTACAAGAACTACAGGGAAAGGAGACCTAGTCTCTCCCAAATTAAATTTTTTTCTAAATTATCAAGATTGGGCTACTCTTGCCATTTTTAAAGAGCACTTTTCCTAAGTGTCTATGGTTCTCGGTCCTTAATTAGTACACTCTGATTCTCCACTGCCTTTTAGCGATGGTGGTGACCATCTCTGCTCCATTTTGTCTCAGCATATGGCTTCTTCAAACACTTGCTGGAAAACAAGACAAAATGGTCTCCTCCAAAGGAGAAGATAAGTTTGCAGGTAATGCTACTCCAATGTTCTTGACTTTTTACGTCTTAGTATGTAGACACAGTACACCACTCAGACCACATTGATGGAGGAGTATGAGGTCAGTACCAGTCAGATTAACTTCTTACTTTCAATACTTTGTAGTTGAGCTTTATGGTGTACAAAATACTTCTATATACCTTCTCATTCAATTCTCACAACCACCCAGTGAGGCGGGCATGGTGGTACTATAATCCCCATTTTATTGTGCAGAAACTTGAGCCTGAGAGAGGTGAAGGAACTAGACCAAGATCACACAGCTCTTCCATGGAAGAGTGAGTTCTCAACCCAGATCCATGCTACCTCATTCTCTTTCCTTTCCAGGCACAAAGAATATGAAAGTGGTTTTCCACTCCCTTTCTCCCTACTAGAGCTGTCTTCTCATTTGACCAATACATGCACAACATGGACAGTTCCAAACAGGAAAAGGAACAATTTATCAAGTTAATTGTCACAGTCCAGTGCGGGCAGGGGTAGGGGGTGTTGTGTCTTTCACGATATTCCTGTTCTTAAAATCTACAGTTTAACTAGAACTTCTCACCGTCAGTGTTGAGTTGTGTTCTCTACAGAATTCACTAGGATTCCAAGGTCACAGTTAAGGCCTTGGGGATTTTACCTTCAAAGCATGCTCTATGCTATACGTCCCACCCCTCTTTCACATTTTCCAGTGTTCTGTGCCTTCCCACCCTTACCTCTTCATGAAAAAAAATTTAGTATTTCTCTCAGTCACCAAAGCCCAGTTTCCCAGGATTCCTCCAGCTTCCTGGAAACACACTTAGCTCCTTCCTCTCTACAGTTACTGTGAGATTCTCTTCTGCTGTTGGGTGACTTTCATTTCTGAAGGTCTCTACTTCTGCTTTGCCATTGGGTGGGCTATGTGGCTGGGCCATTCCATCAGCCAAGCCCCTACGTGGCTCTGTCATAGGTATTCTGACCTGATGGGGTACATTCTCTGAGAGTCCATGTCGCCTGGCTCCCTCTCTACACCCAAATCAAGACAACCCAACTGCCATCTCATTCTTTGGCTTGGAGCAGAGCTGCCCCTTATGGTGGACTGATTTCCCACAAGCTGGCAACTTGGTCAGCTGGGACTCTGGCATTTGTCCTGGAGGATCTCTAGAAAGTCATGCCATTGTCCTATCCCTTTTCTAGATGTTCATTCAATTCACAGACATTAATTGAGTGCCTACTATGTGCCAATACTCTTCTAGCTCTTGGGATATAGCTACCAAAAAACAAAAACCAACCCAACAGACACAGATCCTGTCCTCACACAACTCAGCCTAGACTACTGCTTACATAGAACCATGACCACCATAGGTTCCAGTTGGTCTGAGTCAGTGGATAAACCCAACAAGACCTTCTCCTATCTTCTGGACACTCCACAATAATCTGACCACCCTAGGGGGCTGCGGGAGCCCTACCAACTTTTCCAGGGTCGGTTCCTTGCTACTGAGCCCTGATCAGCTGTGACTCTCCTCCGTGACGCTGACCTCTCCCCTGGTCACATAATCTGACATATCTATTCTCAAATCCAGTAGCTGTTCTTAAATCTTCACAGAGGTGCATTTTCTGTTTGCAGTAAATATTCAAATATATATGTTATTTAATGGATAATAACTGAAGTAGCAATGTGCATATATGAATAACACCACACAATAACTCAAAAAGAACCCTATCGCTCAAATCATTATTTACAAATTCTGATCCTATTTTCACTCGACAATTACTCATACTTTTACCCTGTTACTATCATTGTGACCATGAGTCCAAATTCTCCATTGTTTGTACTTGATTGCATCATCTATTTCTTTCAAACACTTTCCATGTATGAAGGTAGCACCTCACTGTCCTAATATACCAATCGGCTTAGCTGTCACCTCTCAACTGAGCAATTCCAGTTAATAACTAAACATAGGGCAGCCACAAATATCTCCATGCAAATATTTTTCTTTTGGCTTATTTTCCCAGCATGTATTGCCCACAGTGGGATAACTTGTCCTTATAATCATTTTTATTTTATTTTTTTTTTTGACTCTTGTCAAGGATTGCCAAATAGTTCTCCAGGAAGCCTGCATCATTTTATAGTGACAGGAGTCTTATCTATTTCTCAACAGCACATTTTTAAAATTTATTTTTGATGAGTGTAAGTGATTTCATCTTGCATTTTTTTTCATTTCACTAGTCCTTGTCTGAAGGAGCTCTGGTGGTATAGTGGTTAAGGCATTTGGCTGTTAACCAAAAGGCTGGTGGTTTGAACTCAGCAGGCATTCTGCAGAAGAAAGATGAAGCCATCTGCTTCCATAAAGATTTACAGCCTGTGTTTATTGCCTGTGTGCATTTCCTCCTGTGTGCACAGCCTCTTGGGCCCTTCGACTGATCGTCTCTTAGTCATTGGATAATACTGGACTCTCCTCTTGCTTATCAAATCAATCCTACATAGTTTTCTTAGCTTGTTGTGTTGGGTGCCACCGAGTTGATTCCGACTCACACTAACCCTATGTAGTGGAGTAGAAATGACCCTTAGCATCTCCCAGGCTGTAATCTTTACAGGACCAGATCACCAGATCTTTCTCCCACAGAGCCGCCAGGTAGGTTCGAACCGCCAACCTTCTGCATAGATAGCAGCCGAGTGCTTAACTATGGTGCCATTAGGGCTCCTTTTTCTTATCTTATAGTTTTTTATTGGCCTCCTGGACGTTACGTACAGACCCTCTTCAAACAAGAGCTAGCCTCCCTGGAGAAAGAATTTCTTTTCCTTGCACCCGATGCTCTGCACTGTCCATCTGGCCTTGAAACCTACATTATCTATCCATCGTTCATGATACCTACAGTAAGATCCCGCTGGGTCATGTCCTCATCACTTACTCGAGCACCTCAGTATCACTGCACTGCCATTGCCCATCAGGGGATGAATGGTCGTGGCTCCCCATCCCCTCCTCTATCCATCCATCCCAACCCCACTACCAACTTCTCAGGTTTTCCAGATGGTTTGGCCACCCCAATGCTACACCTGTCCCCTAGGAGAAGCCTGACCTCCCCCTCTAGCAATAGTGACTGACAGAAGGACAAATTCCCTCTCCCCTCAGTTCAGCCAAGCGAAGACCAAAATTCCTCAAAGGGAATTTGCTGGAACGCTAAAGAAAAACAAACAAATAAGCCCCAGAAATGACAGAACATCAAAACAAGCGCAGCACTGCGGAGATTTCACATGGTCCCATGCCTTGCCTCGTGTCGGCTCAGGGGCCTTCTTCCCTGACACTCAGCACCCTGCTCCAGATGCCAGGCCTGCCGGGTTTGTTCTTCCTGTAACACATTCGTTTGGCATGACCACGGCCGGTGTCTCTATTTCCTTCCACTCGAAGCATCCCCTACACATTCGTTTGGCATGACCACGGCTGGTGTCTCCATTTCCTTCCACTAGAAGCATCCCCCACCTCACTGGGAGATACCATTGTCATGGGCAGTAAATATTCCTGCCTGTAGCAGGAAGGAGATGTTACTTACACCCCGAGCAGGGCCGGCCTGCCCTTGGCTACTCCACTAGGAGTGGTTTGGAAGATGCAATTCAGAACACGTTTCCAAACCTGAACTAAGAGGCAGCAGCTGACTCCCACAACAACCAAGAGGGGTGGTGCACTCCCAGCACCCCTCCCAGCCCTGCTCCTCTGTTCTGGGAGTGACCGCAGTCACGCCACCCCTGGTCCCTGAACACCAGAAGAGGGTCCAGCAGTTTGGCACTTTATCTTGGTAAGTCACCAACCCTGGCCCTCAAGGAAAATGCCCCCACCTGTCCCATGTCACGGGCAGTTCTGCTCCCCTCCTGCCCTCCCCCCACCCCAATCCTAGCCCCTTTAACTGTCAGGAGAGCGGACCCGGAAAACATGGATGGTCCCATTACTGAGGGACACGGCTAGGTAGCGACCATCCACCATAGTGGTCACCCGGGGCTTTTCCAGGCCATGGTAGGCTGTGAGGAAGTCACCGAGCAGTGACCCCTTTGGATCCAACACCACCACCTTGTTGACCTCCCGAAGAGTCAGAAAGATGTAGCCCTTCCTGTCCACAGATAAGGAGCCTGGCTGGCAGCCGTGCAGGGCCGGCCCGCCGTACTCCCCGATTACCTGACCCAGCCCATTACAGATCACCAACCTATTCTGCTGCCAATCCGACCCCACAAAATTGCCCTGGGGGCTGGTTGCCAGGAACACCAGTGCCCGGAGGCCCCGGTTGGCCTTGCCCCCAGGGACAAACCGAGTGGCCAGGCTTCCTTCCAAGTTGTAGACCTCCACGTAGCCCGACACGCTGACGGCCACCCTGTCCATGCTTGGCAGGGCAGCCACGGCATGGCTGGCCTGGGAGTGGTTCAGGGCCCGGCGCCATTTCACCTCTCCGTCAGGGCTGATGAGGTAGAGCCGAGAGCCGGCTGAGAAGGCCACCGTGTCCCGCAGCGAGGCCACGCTGCACGGGGAGCAGCCCTCGGGGACTGGCACGGTGCCCTTATAGTCACCGTTCAGAGAGAAGCGCTTCAGGACTTTGTTCTGCTCGTCTGCCACCAGGATCTCCTGGGGGCCAAAGGGACAGAGCCCTGTGATCCGGGGAGACCACTTGTCTCCAGGCATCCGTGTGGGGAAACTGCAGAAAAAGATGGGCTTGGGAAGGAGGCTGGAGCATTCCAAGTTTGCAGGAGGTGCCGGGCTGGGCTCCCGGGAAAGGGACTTGAGCCTGGCTTTGAACTTTCTCCTTCTGTTGGATCTGCCACTTTTCTCGGGCTGAGCTTCTCCATCTTCTTTGGAGATCTGGGCTTTGTCCTCTTTTGGGGTCTGGGCCCCATCTTCTCTCTGGATCTGGGCTCCATCCTCTTTGTGGAACTTGGTGACATCCCCGCTCTTGGACTGGACTCCACTGCCCTGTTTGTCCGTCCTGTCTTGGTCCTCTCCCTGGGTTCCAGCTCCGTCTTTCCCACCGTCCTTCTGGGGCTGCTGCTCTTCAAAGGAGAGCCGAAGCAGGTGGCAGCTCTTGTCCAGCAGCCCGGGATGGAGCTCCAGCTGGGGCAGCAGGCAGGGGGATGGCCCAGGCGCCCAGGGACAGCCCTGCAGCTGCCGGAGCCTCCGGGCAATTGTCCCCTCCAGTGAGAGGATCTCAGCCTCGCGACCCAGGCTGAGCACCCGACGGGCAAACGTGGCCGCCGTCCTGGCCACCTGCTCCCGGCTCTCGAGCTCCGCCAGCCTCCCCCGAGCAGCCTCCTCAGCAGCCTCCACGTGAGCCCGGAGCTGCCCCAGCACCTCCTGCTTCTGGGCCAGGAGGGCCCGGAGGACCCGCTCTGCCGCCTCCTCCACCTCCATCCCCACCTTGGCTGCCTGCTCCCGCAGCCGGGCCAACGCTTCCTTCTCCACGGTCCAGGCAGCTTCCAGCTCTGCCAGGTTGCTGTCCACACCTGCCAGCAGCTCCTCCAGGCCTGGTCGCCGGGCCCGCACAGCTTCGGCCAGGGGCAGGCACGGGTGGTCCAGGTGGGGGTCCAGGCGGCACTCACGGCACAACAGCTGGGAGCAGGGCTGGCACAGGAAGCGCAGAGCCTCACCAGGGTGCTGGGGGCACTGGGCTGCCTGGCGCTCCCGGGCCTCCTCATCATACCACCCCGCCCTGTAGCCTACCAGGTCCACCACTCGATGGGCATGGGTCTGGCGGGTACAGCGGTGCCCATCAGCACAGGCCTGGCACAAGTCGTCGGCACAGTCCAGGCACCGGGCGGTGGCTGGCCCTCCTGTGCCTGTGCCCCCCATTAGGGGGCATAGGGCACAGGCCGGCTTCCCTGCACGCAGGTCTCCCCCTGCCCGGGCGGTCACCAAGTCCAGCAGCCCATTGACGAAGAAGTTGGTCTTGAAGACGGCCACACCTCCTGGTGGCACAGGCACGACCTCGCGGCACTCAGGGCATCGCAGGTGGCCACCTTCGGCCAGCTGGGCCAGGCAGGCCTGGCAGTAAGTGTGCAGGCAGGGCAGGGTTTTGGGCACCCGCAGCTGCTCCAGGCAGATTTTACAGGCCAAGAAGTCACTGCTCAGGGCCTCCAGCAGGGAGGATGAGGACCCCTGGGAAACCATGCTGCAAGCAGAGGGTCAGGGTCAGAGGTCAGAGGGTGCTGCTAGGCTGCCTGCCCACCTCTGCCCCATCCTCAAGCCCCCTTGTAATACCCAGGCCTGCAGTCTCACCTGAATGGCAAGAAGTCCCTTCTGGGCTTCTGCTCTTGCTCTAGGAAGCTGCCCTCTTCCTCCTCACAGACACTCAGCCAACCTCCTTTTGCTTCCCGTGTCAGGCGCTGTGCGAAATGCCAAGACCAGTAAGCCCCTGGCCTTGAAAAGCTCAGAATCTAGTAAGAAGTGCCCACAGTTGACAGCCCTTGTGCTACTGTGGTCCTAAACCCAACCCAACCCAACAAAACCTACAGCCACGGAAACAATTCCAACTCATCGCGGAAGTAGACTGCCCCATCTTCATTCTGCGGAGCAGCTGTTGGGCTGGGGGAAATAGTTTTGACTTTACTTGGTTTCAGGTTTGAACTGCCAACCTTCTGGTTAGCTGTCAAATGCCTTCGGCGCCATGCCACCAGGGCTCCTTAGTGTGGTCCTCGTTGTTATGTGCTGTCAAGTCAGACTTGATGCCTAGCGACCCCTCCTTGGGTTTCTGAGGCGGTATCACTACAGAAGTAGATTGCCCAAGTTTCCTTCAGAGGAGCGGCTGGTGGGTTTGAACCGCAAGCCTTCTGGTTAGCAGTCAAGTGCCTTAGGCACTACGCCACCAGAGCTCCTAAGAAAGATGGTCCTGTTGTTGTTGTTGTTGTTTGCCGTCGAGTCGGCCCCGACTCATAGCGACCCCTCCTTGGGTTTCCGAGGCAGTATCACTACGGAAGTAGGATTGCCCAACCTTCCTTCCGAGGAGTGGCTGGTGGGTTTGAACCGCCAGCCTTCTGGTTAGCTAGCAAGTGTCTTAGCCACTATGCTACTATGCTACTTGTTGTTGTTGTTGTTATGTGCCGTCGAGTCAGCCCTGACTCATAGCGACCCCTCCTTGGGTTTCCGAGGCAGTATCACTACGGAAGTAGGATTGCCCAACCTTCCTTCCGAGGAGTGGCTGGTGGGTTTGAACCGCCAGCCTTCTGGTTAGCTACTAGCCCTGTGTAAATAAGTGCTAGAGCGCTGCTGGGAACCAGAAGGGCAGTAAACAGGTCTCCACAGAAGGTCCAGGTAGGTGAGTCGCCCTGCCTCTCCGGGCCCTCAGGTAGGCCCTCAGCCCCAAGTCCCATCCATCTTGTCTTCTAGACCCTGGACCCAGCCTTATAGGTGGTCAGAGCCCCACTCCCAGCTCAACTGGTCCTGAAATGGACTCTGGAGTGGGGAGAAAGGAGGCCCCTGCAGCTTTTGCCTCTTCCTGGAGTCGGGCTTTAGCCTCTCCTGCTAAAGGCTTTCCTGCAACTCCCTGGAGTTCATCTTTGAATGTTCCTGGCTTGATAGAAACACTGGGTGCATCTCCCCTTTCCTCTCCCTGCTAGGAATTGTTTAGGAGGCCAAGTCAGACTTCTGGCCTGCTGGGGTGAGAGGCAGTGGGGGTGAGGGGGTCAGGGGGGCCCTGCCACGCCGTGCACTCTCCCCTCCCCTCCTCCCTCCCTGCCCCTCTGCACGCCCCTCTCTTCCTCTTCCTCCCACGCTGTCCTCCTTCTCAGCCCTTCTCCCTGTCGCTGCCCCCGAGCCCCTTCCTTACCTAGCCCCAGCAGGACGAGGCCTCCACGGACTGGGAGTGGGGCCCAGGCCCGGACGCCGCGGTTGCTGGGTGCCTGAAAGAGAAACAAAACTGAAACTAACTGTACTTGAGCAACTTCCGTCCCCTGCCCGGGACACCGACGTGCACGGCCTCAGGCTCCGCCTTCTTCCCCACAGCGGCCCCGGACCTCTTCCTCCCGGCGTGTCTCCCCCATCCCGGCTCCCTCGGAGGCGGCTCCTCCCGGGCAGGTTGGGGCGCCGCCGCCGGGGTGCAGCCCTCGCCGCCTGTGCGTCTGTAGCCTCGGGCTGTGCACTCGCCTAGAACAGCGTGTGTCACTCACACCGGGAACTGCCGGCGGCCACATCCTCGGGTGTTTGTGTAATCACAGAGCTTATTTGTGGGAAGAAAGGGAAGATCATCAGCGACTCAGAGACCAGCAATAACTGGAACCGAGTCCTCAGGCAGGTTTTCTAGGGCTGCCGAGTGCCCCACGCAGCAACCTTCAAAAGCCACAAACTTTTGCTGAGCCGTGGGAGAGGCCTGGAAACCTTGCACGGGGCCCCTCTGCCTGAGGCTCACTTGAGAGGAGTTTGAGGAGTGTACCCGGGTTAGGTGGATAAGAATGCAGAGAAGGCGCCCAGCAAGTACAAAGGCACATGATTCCTTTGGGTGGCTCCAAATGATTTAGGATGAGTTGTGTGAAGGGTCCACGTGAGTGGTGGCTGATGAGGTTCTAAAGGGAGATACTGGCAGTATCTTGTTGTTTTTGTTGTTATGTGCCGTGGAGTCAAACCCGACTCATAGCGACCCCTCTTTGGGTTTCCGAGGCAGTATCATTACGGAAGTAGGATTGCCCAACCTTCCTTCCGAGGAGTGGCTGGTGGGTTTGAACCGCCAGCCGTCTGGTTAGCAGGCAAGTGTCTTAGCCACTAT